AGTTTGTTTGTTTTTTAAAGAAAGAATGATTTAACCCTGATAAAATATATGATTTAATTTGGGTGTTGTAGTTAGATATGGTGTCATACGATACTCTATTCCACAATATAATAATGGCATCCGTCAGTCCCGGGGGACTATGGAGATGTGCCGCTGGCTTTGGGAACAGCATCTGCTGTGACTGTAAAGTCCGATGCGGGAGTGGCAGTCTTTGCCACACAGGATACACACAAAAGCAGATACTCCCTCGTTGTGAGGCAGTTTTACTCTCCGGTGCCTCCTCTCCACAGCTCGTTGTGTTCGGTTTCTTTCAAAATGTGACAGTCCATCTTTCACTTTCTGTCTCCATAGTAGTCGATCTGCAGCTGATTTTTCCCATGTCTCTGTGCCTATGTTGGTGTCTATTAGGTCACGTTTGCATACATCTTTATAGCGCAGCTTTGGCCTTCCTGTAGGTCTATTCCCAGTTACCAATTCACCATATAGGAGATCTTTTGGAATACGACCTTCCTCCATGCGGGAGACATGTCTCAGCCAGCGCAGACGTCTTTGCTTCAGTATGCAATACATTGATTGTATTTTTGCTCTTGTGAGCACACATTCGTTGGAGACAAGATCTCGCCATAATATACCAAGGATGCGTCTCAGACAGCGCATATGGAAGGTATTCAGTCTTTTTTCCTGTGGAGCATAGAGAGTCCAGGATTCGCAGCCGTACAGTAATGTGCTCAGGACACAAGACTCATAAACCTTCATTTTTGTATTATCAGTTAGCTTTTTGTTTGACCAGACTCTCTTTGTGAGATTTGCAAACATAGCAGAGGCCTTTCCTATACGTTTGTTTAGTTCTGCATCCAGAGAATGATTGCTTGAGATACGTGAGCCTAGGTACTCAAACTCATTTACAGCCAGCAGCTGATGGTCATACACACTAATGTTTGGTGGATTTCCAACATTCAATCCCATCACTTGTGTTTTGTTCAGACTGATGGTAAGCCCAAATTCTTTGCAAGCATTTGCAAAGCGATTCATCAGGATCTGCAGATCATCCTCTGAATGTGCCACAATGGCTGCATCATCCGCAAACAGAAAATCCCTGAGGCATCTCGTTTGCACCTTCGTCCTTGCACGTAGCCTGGACAGATTAAAAAGTTTGCCATCTGACCTCGAACGGAAGTATATCCACAATATAAACTGTTTAAGGAAATGTAGTATCAGCAGAGGAGAAATACTGACATCTTGAAAGATCTTAACATCAAGGAAGATTGGCTAATAAACAGCATCCTGTCTCGGAAGCTGAAATATTTTGGTCATATCAAGCGCCACGAGGGATTGGAAAAAATGATAGCAGAAGGCATGGTACCAGGAAGGAGGGGCAGCCGACACGAAGATGGGCACGGGATATAAGTGACTCCTTGAGTATAAAAGTACATGAGGTAGGAGAACTGGCGAGAGACCGAGTTTCTTTCAGGCAGACTGTGATGAGAGCGACGTTCTGCAAAGGACCTGCTACATGATGAGTATCAGTATAGTTGACCTTGTTCCGTACGTTGACCACCTCTATAAGTTGACTGTTTTACTGGGTGGTCAACCTGTTTTTTGTTTTTTATATAATTTTAAAATCTCATTCTCCAGGCTGACATACAAAGTTTTTTTTGTCTTTCAAAAAAAAAAAACCTTTTATGTTAACTTGTCTGTTTCTTTCTCTATGCTTTGAATGAAAGGGTGCTTCTGATTTCTTTGTTGCTGCTCGGCACACAAAACGGAGATGTATTAACTCTTTGAGTCCCTAGGAACGCATCATACGTTCATAGGTTCCTACCTAGAAGCCCAATGAACGCATGATGCGCCGATTTTATGACTCTCTTTACTACTCCCTGGGCCTGTGAAGCTAAACCCCCTGGAACTCAAAGCGTTAACTGCACAACTGTTAATACTTTACCTCTTTCGGTACCAAGCGGGTGATACATTAATTCGTTCCAAGAATTTATTACTTCATCTCAGAAGATTGGCTACAAGAGCAAGTAGACAGACCCGAAAAATACAGATCAACAGCCTTAAAGACACTTTACGCGTTCACGGTATGACAATACAATTCCTTCCCAAGACGCTTAACTGCAGATATGGTTTATGATGATGAATCATATTTTGGGTCTGAGGTGAAGGACTCTTTTTATGCCATTATGCATATGATGCTAGAATCTTCATTTAATAGACGAATCAGCACTCGACGGATTCAGGTGGTCAACTTCATGCTGACCACCTTCATTTTCCAGGACACTGACCATATAGGTCAGTTTTACAGAGAGAAAAATAAACTGAAAAATGTCTGGCTCAGACAGGAAAAATCAGCTGGCGAGTATCTAGCCACTACACCACTGCGACTCCCATATTAAAAATGTTTTCAAACAAAATAATCTTCTATTTTTGTGTGTGTCTTGTTGGCGTCTGTGCCTTAGGCGTTGAGAATGCACTTTGAAACTCCATGGTGCTGGTTTTTATCCCTGCTGCAGGTGATTTGACAGCAGACTGCCTTGCGTTTGTTTCCACAGTGATATCAAAAGCCGACCAATCAGTAAGCAGTTACAAACTATATAACGCATAATTGCCTAGTGAAATTAAAACTTGTGTCTGTCAAGTTAACACATAAGCATGAATACGTGATGTGTTACAAAGAAAGAAAGTTACAAAGAAAGAAAGATTATTTTGGCACTTATTACCTCCATTCCTGGGAAGTAAAGGGGCCTGGCGTGATGCTGACCATACCACCCACCAAGTGCCGACTGATCTATAAAATATAGGTCTATATGCCGAATATGCCTAAAGAAAAGGGTCCTTTACCTTTTTTTACCACTGCAGTCAGTAAAGTGAAAGACCTTATATATATTATATATATAGACACACACCAGGGAAGTACTGGGCATATGATGGGTAATGTGGTCAACATCACGTTGGCTGCTTTTATTTCCCAGGATATTACCTGGTACCCATTTTCAGCAGGTCAACCTAGGAGCTAAGCTTAATTTTGAGGAGGGAAACATCTACCTTATTACGGAACCACCATCACAGTGGCCCTAGCTTCAGTCTAGTGATTAGATTTGATTGTTTCTTCTGACATGAGATAGGTAGGGGCCCTCAAAGTGAGGGATTCTGGATCACTGTTCTCTCACAAAGTAGAACACAAGTCCTGGAATAATTGCAACAGCAGAAAGAACAAGACAAAATAGCAACCAGGACACTAAATAAATGTAATCAATAAAAATACAGCAATGATGATATCATTCAAGATATTTTTCAGACATCTTAAAGTTATTGATCCAGCAAAACATAAAAAAATCACAAACAAGATCAATATTTCAATCAAAGTGGTTTTTCTCAAGGACACAGCATCCAAAAACAACTACACGTATCTCCACTATTTTTCTGTCTGCTATTTGCATCCTCAAGGACATAGCAACCAAAAACCAACTAAATGTACTTCCGCTACTTTCTTCTATCTGTGCTATTAGTATCTGCTTCTTAAAGCCTATGCAGTGTGGTGTTGGTAGTCATGTCTATCTATAACTTTCTGTCTCGTGTACTTTCAGTCAACTCTGACACAGATAACACTCCATGCCATGATGTCAAACTGTCTAGCATCTGTTTTCTCTGACTCCCTCTCTTCCCCTCCTACGATTGCATGAACTCCAGTTTTCTCCTTCTCATCATATGACCAAAGAATGTAGATTGTCTCCCCCTGATGTGGTCAACCTGATGTGGTCAACCAGTTCTCTTCGTTTAAAACCACATCTCCGGAGCTTCCCAATAATGTTTTCACTAATTTACCGACTGTCCATGATTCACTTCTGTATATCAAGACAGGATTTATATAGTTTTTCTGTCTGCAGGGATACAATAATCAAAAACCACTGCACTGTATCTTCACTACTTTCTATCTGCTATTTGCATCCTCAAGGACACAGCAATAAAAAACCAATACATGTACCTCAACTACTTTCTTCTATCCATGCTATCTGTATCTTCAGAGGCACAACAATCAAAAACCACTGCATTACTTTCTGCCTGTGCTATTTGTATACTAAGGGACACAATCAAAAACCACTGCATGTATCTCCATTACTTTCTGCCTGTGCTATTTGTATACTAAGGGACACAATCAAAAACCACTGCATGTATCTCCATTACTTTCTGCCTGTGCTATTTGTATCCTCAGGGACACAATCAAAAACCACTGCATTACTTTCTGCCTGTGCTATTTGTATCCTGAGGGACACAATCAAAAACCACTGCATGTATCTCCATTACTTTCTGTCTGTGCTATTTGTATCCTCAGGGACACAATCAAAAACCACTGCATGTAACTCCATTACTTTCTGCCTGTGCTATTTGTATCCTCAGGGACACAATCAAAAACCACTGCATGTAACTCCATTACTTTCTGTCTGTGCTATTTGTATCCTCAGGGACACAATCAAAAACCACTGCATGTAACTCCATTACTTTCTGTCTGTGCTATTTGTATCCTCAGGGACACAATCAAAAACCACTGCATGTAACTCCATTACTTTCTGTCTGTGCTATTTGTATCCTCAGGGACACAATCAAAAAACATCAACTGCATGATACCACTGCATTACTTTCTGTCTGTGCTATTTGTATCCTGAGGGACACAATAAAAAACCACTGCATGTATCTCCATTACTTTCTGTCTGTGCTATTTGTATCCTCAGGGACACAATGAAAAACCACTACATGTATCTCCATTACTTTCTGTCTGTGCTATTTGTATAATCAGGGACACAATCAAAAACGACTGCATGTATCTTCATTACTTTCAGTCTGTGCTATTTGTATTCTGAGGGACACAATCAAAAACCACTGCATGTATCTCCATTACTTTCTGTCTGTGCTAATCCTGACTGCATGTATCTCCATTACTTTCTGTCTGTGCTATTTGTATTCCTGAGGAACACAATTAAAAACCACTGCATGTATCTCCACTACTTTCTGTCTGTGCTATTTGTATCCTCAGCAAATTCAGCAACCCATGTATCATCAGCTGCCAAGGCAGCAGTTTTGGTGTCTGTACTTTTTTCAATGAAATCTGGCGATGTCAAAGGTCGGGCAGTTGTAGAACGTTCAGCAGTGTCAGAAATTTTGCTAATACGGCTGACAATTTGTTGCTGCCACTGATCGTCGCTCAAATCTCTGGCCCAGTCGGGAATGTTTTCCGTTGGAAGGGAGAAGTGGGACATCGCTTTTAGAATACTTGATTCCTCAACTGAAAAAAAAAGTTTTATGAAATAAATTAGTTTTTGCTATGTTATCACAATCGACATCCCTGCACATTGGGCATTCCCATGCGTGCTCAGTCCTCAGATGCAGCAGCCACTCCAAGGTACTTCGACTAATTGTTCTCAGGAGATGTTGGTTATAATTTCTCCTATCTAGGTCTCGAAGGTGGTATAGATGTGCTTCACCATGCTCAACTCCCATGTCACGCAATGGTGTTAGTGTCAGAGATTGGTCATTATCCACTAGCCCAGTCCATACAGCGTTAACAAAATCTACTCTGTCCATGCTTCTTCCCACATGTGTTGGTGTATTGCATGGATAGGCAAAAGGGGATTTTTTTTTTAATCGAAGTGAACTAAAAAATCAGCAGACATTGTGGAGATATAATATTCAGACACATGCAAGCAGACATACCAACACTTTTAGTCTCAAACTGGAAAGACAAGGCTAATCACAGAGATGAAAAGAGGTGGGCGATACCTTCAGTAAAGAACTTCAAGGGCTTGGCTAAAAAAACAATCTTAACTTGTATCTTGAATGGCAGCTGCTTTGGCAAGAGGCCTTTATTCTTCAACACAGAAAACTAAGCAATGGAACAAATTATGTACAAATACTTTAGGCGTCCCATAAGTTTCCATAAACAGGAAAAATACGTATCAATAACACTATTATGTGCATAACTACAGCGGTGCTTATAGATATTCTTCAGAAGTGAAGGACGTGTATCAAAATGTGTTTTTAAAACAATGGTAGTCACGTAGAGAATATTATTTAAATAAATATAGTTTTCATAAAGAAATGTCTATGTTTTTGTGTCCAGACACCATGAGCTATAAACCCTTTGGCTCGGTACTATGGATATCGCAACCCTTTGGCCTTGATTCCATAAAAGATACCGTAAATCTGGGAAAAACATGGCTTTTCTGCCTACCCCCGAGGATGAACTTGGACCATAATGAGTTTGTCACCTGGTCGCCGCATAGCTGGTTTAACCAACTTAACTAGCGCGCCGGGCAATGTGTGTTTAAATGATCAGATCAGTCGTGTTACTGAAGCAAAAAAATACTAACATATGTACTATTAAGAGGTAAGAGACGTCAAATTTTGCGTAAGAGGTAACTATCCTTCGCCCCATAAAAATCTTCAAACGCGATCATTTTCTAATTTTTTTTAAACTCATCCTTATCATTGTCTGAAACTCCACCCTAAGAAACCAGGGAAAGAGAAGAATAAGGAAAAGTAATTTTGAGTCTTGGTCTGTTAAAAACAATTTCAAACCCCTAGACCAGACAGCAGACCATGAAGGAAATTATTTCATTGTGGTTGTCAAGTCACTAAAAATAATGATTTTTACTTTGTTTCAATCATTATAAACACTAAATACAAACCAAGCTAAGAAATTAACTGCTTTCAGTCCCTTTGGCCAAGAAATATATGATTTTGTTAACAAAGCAACGATAATGACATCTTATGCATCTGCCCTTAAAAGGGCGGTTGGCATGATGTGGTGTTGTTTACAGCTAGGCTGCAGTATCTGCACCTTTCAGCCCAACACATCCCATTTCAGCAAACCTTTATAATTAGTTGTCTGTCGTAAGATCCATGATATGTGGACAAGAGGGAAGGGGTCTATCCCCCCCTCCCCCACCCCTTTCAAAATAGGGTACTTGAACCCACATAAGAGCTGCAAAATTCAACCAGTCGTAAATAAAAAAGAAAAAACAAATTTGCCTGCCAACCAAGGTGGTAGAAGACTTCTTACAAGGATGATGATGTGTGCAGGATGTTCTCTAGCGTGGCAATGTAGTCCACATCATGTCAGCCATCTTTACTTCCCAGGACATTACCTGGTACCTTTTTTAGCCTGCCTTAACCAGAAAGCCAATGCTGATTTTTTAAAATAATCTGCTATGATGTGGATTTGTTGAACCCCAGACCTTCAGGCATATGTCTAGCCGCTACGCTACAGGGGCGTCCCATACCAGTGGCAGTAGACGCAAATGAAACAAAAGTGAGTTATCCCAAGATTTACCTGGATCTAGAGTTGACTTACTGGCTTCTTGTCTGTGCTGGTTCCACAGCTGTTCCTCTTTCTCCCTGGCTGCCCTAGGAACCTGTGGGAGGAGTTCACAGGGGAGGATTGCTCAGTCAACATAGTCAGTGTAAATCAAGCCAGCAGTTGCAGCAGTCACATCACAACGCTGCCTTTACTGTGTGTATATACCACTTTTAGGGGGTCAGAGGGCTGTGGGTCTGAGGATTTAGGGCATGGCTATTCAACTGGTGGCCTGCAGGTCCAATCTGGCTTAGCAAGTGGCCCACATCTCGTCTGCCAATTTCCCCATGTGGGTTCCGGGGCCCCATTGTAGGGAAAAACAAGAATAGACCCACTGCCTACCAAAAAGCATGTCGTAAGAGTCGACTAATTGGGAGCTTTCTTTGAAGTTGGAGTACATCTGCCTGAGAGGCAAGGAACTAACAGTCTGCATGCAAATAACTCAGACATGTGAAACTGATGTACGCGCAACACTCAGTCTCTGAAACAAGACTAGAGTCCAGAAGTGGACGAACAACCAGAACTTTTCCGCCGGAGTTTACAGCCGGCGAACACGAAGAAGAAGATTTGCCAACTGTATTATATTAATGATATTTCTATGCTGAAGCTGGGGCCTCTGGCCCATGAGGATCTTCATTTTCCAACATTCTGGCCCCTAAGTAAGCTTAGGTGAATGGCCCTGATTTAGGGGACTACGAATTTTTTTATTGTTATTTTTGCCCCCACCAGAAAAAAAAATGTCCATTCCTTATGTGAGTTATCCTCAAGAGAGCCTAGTGCTCCAAAGCCCTCGGCCAGCTGCTCCACTCATAACAAGATATAAAAAATCAAACTTGTAGACACTGTGGGTGTTTGGTGCAGGCTTCATGTTTATACAGATTATCTGGACATGATGAATGATGTGGTCAGAAAAGTGAGAGTTGTTCTGTTTTTGCTGAGTGTGTCCTCTCCTCTACTTTTATAATTACAGATCAGTATCTTTTAATTTATACTTCAAACGTAGTGTTTTTATTGTCATCAAATAGAGTATTTCCTTCACTCACATACACTTATGTATATACACACTCATAAACACACACATATGCATGCATGTGCACACATGTGTAGGTAAAGGTATTCTCTGTTCGCAAATGTTCGACTCCTGTAGCAAATATTTAGGCATCATTTACCAGTTCCACAGTGGGTTTGACAATTTCCCAAATGGATTCCAAGGCCCCATTTTAGGTAGAAAAAAAAAATAGACCCACTGCCACTTAATCAATAAAGTCATAAAAGGTGAATAATTAAAACTGCTGAAATCAGATGTGTTGGATCAAAAGGTGTAGTTATGATAGATAGCCTTGCTGTAAACCACAACACAACATGCCAATCGCCCCTTTAAGGGCAAACACACAAGAGGTGTTGCACAAGGAGGCTGAAATAGCAAGACCTGAAAGAAACTTTAAATGATGCAGTTTATCCATGACTGTTTCCCCAGGATTGCCATGCCATTCCACAGACAAGAAGTTTCCCACTGATCTTGCACACCCTGATAATTTCTGAGTTTGGAGCAAAGAAGCTTGGAAACACGATCTCTGTGCAGATGATATTTTGGTATCATCATTACCCTGATAATGCAAGTTCTTTAGAGCTCAGAAAGTTCCAATGCCAATGGGTTCCCAGTGTAGATTCTGAGGGCCCATATTTTTTGGGGGAAAAAGACCCACTGTGTCCCTAATAAGCATCTAGTTAGAAGCAACTACTTAGGGGTGTTTCCTTTGACACTGGAGTGCATCTGCCTGAGAGGCAAGGAGCCAACAGTCTGCCTACAAATAAGCCAGTAAAACGGATGTGCATGCAAAACTGAAAGTTCTGCAACGGCCAAAATCCATAAGTGGATGAACAACCAGAACTTTCGGCTGGAGTTTACAGCTGGTGAAATGAGCCTGAGCTTAACTCACATGAAGCAACCTGAAGAATTACACATCAACCAAACAATTCCACATTTAACTACTGAAACAGAGGGGGGGGAGAGCTGCATGGTCTTGAGGCATGGTGTCAGTCTCGAGTGCTAGAGGTTCCGGGTTCCATCCAAGGTAAGGGCTCTGATTTTTTTCACGTAGACTTGAGTTGTGAGATCGGATGCCCGTGTGCATTGTTGCACACGTAAAAAATCCCTTGGCAGTTTGAAATTAAAAAGAGAAGCCTAACGGCGCTGCCGGGACAAAATGTGGAGTTAATCTACCCAAAGTATTTCAGGATCCTCGCCAGTGCTACAGAGCCTGTGCACTGTGCTGAGCTTTTTCAGACAGACTCATACTTGAGTTAGAAGAAGAACGGAGCACTTATGGGTTACTACCTGTGTGCCTTGATGTTGATCCACTGTTCAAAAACCAAACCTACTGAAACAAGTACTGTAAATTCTGATGTACAGGTTGGTATAAAACCCAAATCTTTACCAGCTAGGTGACCTTGATTGTTTAGAAGCTCTGTTGCCTTGTCCACTGAGTCTTCTGTGATGTATTTAATACTCTGTTGATTAAGATTTTGATCGAAATCTTCGGTTGTATTTGTGTGCGTCTTTACCATTTCCTTTGTTGAGCTATCTAGTCATAATGTATGTTGTATTTAGCCTTTCTAGTCACCCCAATTTATGTAACCACATAGGCGTACATCAGTTTTGCAGCATGAGGTTGGTGGCGTCACAGGTTTTAAATGTTCACTAAGTTATACAGATACAGTTACCCTACCTACCAATGTGTGCAGGTTACAGGTTGTCACCATTCAACGCATACAGACAAATATTACATTTTGTGTCTCAATTTACAGGTATGTGACGTGCCCTCAAGTAGTTTTAGCACAGATATCATATACTATATAGTGTAACTTCATTTAACAGTAGGCCTGGGTTTTATGTTTGCCCATCAACTGTTACAGGAGGCGGGACTTTGTTCTGGCGGTACACAATGGTACGCAGTACAGACACTTTTTAGTCATCACTTTTTAAAAGTGATACTGCAATAGACACTTTGTGGCGACTACCGGCACCTTTTTGTCTAGCATAAAGCCCAGAAAGAAGGTATAGGCTCAACTTAAAATTTTCAGCTAAAAATCTTGAGGTCGACTTGTATGCCAATTCACCCTGTACGTCACAATTTACGGTATATAAAATTCACATCAGCATACAAATATTCACTCACAAAGCTGACCTGCATATATGAAGGAATTTTTCCATATGGGAATTTAGCTATAAATGCTGGATGGCTCGTACTGGTTGACGCAGGCACTGTTGGGGCTACTGCTCCTTCTTCTGTCAACAGAACAGATTCTGTCAGTGTGTTAACAGTAGAATCTGCAAGACCAGCTGAAGTCTCTGCTCGGAATGATGCAGCATGGCTGGGATCATCAATATTTTCTGTGCTATAAACAAAACTGTCATCTGATTCGAACCCATTCTCATCAGGTTCTTGGGGTAATAAAGAATAGCCACCAGGAGCTCCTATGTTTTCTTCGCCATCAAGGTCGCTGTCATCAGAATCTGAACTGCCAACTGGAATGGTTAAATCTGGATTAAAGAAGTTTTCAGAATCGTCACGGGAAGGTGCGTCCTTGTTGTTGTTCTCTGGTACAGGAGCCATGGTAAACCATGGGAGGGTTATTCAATATTGGTAGTGCATCTAGAACAGGTCATATAAAAACATTTACAGCATACATTACAGTAGTTGGATAAGAACAGATCACCTTTTACGCATTATTTTAAGGATGCAATATTCATGTAAATTCCCCGAGTGGGTTTTGAGAACCCAAATCTGCAGCTGGGAGGTTGGGGAGGGGTAGGTCCCTTGCCCTCCTAACATGCATGTTGTAAAAGGCAACCAATTAGGGATTTTCTTCTTCTTCTTCTGCTGCTGCTGCTTCTTCTTCATGTTCACCAGCTGTAACTCTTAACAGGAAGTTCTGGGTGTTGGTCGACCTCTGGACTTTAGTCTTGTCCCAGAACTTGAGTGTTGCATGCACATTCATTTTACAGATCTGACTTTTTTTGTAAGCAGATTGTTGGTTCCTTGCCTCTCAGGCAGATGTACACTTAACTTCAAAGGAAACCCCCAATTAGTTGACTTTTGTGACATGCTTGTTGGGGAGGCAGTGGGTCTATTCTTGTTCCCCCCCCCCCCCAACCTCCCCAAAGGGACCCCAGAACCTCCTGAGGAAGGGATTTTCTTAAATTGGATGTGTTGGGCCAAAGAATGCAGATATCGCAGCCTAGCTGTAAACCAAACACAATGCACCAACTGCCCTGTTGTGTTCAAATGCACAAGAAGATATCCATGCACATTAACGCATGATGTCTTAATTCACTAGATGTGGAGAAGCTTGATCTTTCAAGCCAGTCATCAAGTCACCTGATGATGAGGATGATGATAACATTAATGAACTAGAAGTAAACTTTATATGCAGGACCCTTTTATACGCTAGGGAATATGGGCCTATACTCAATTTTTACAGATCAATCGGCTCTCCTCCGAAGTTCTACCCCGGCATTATGGCGGCCAAACAAATATCCTAACAGGGCCTCAGTTTTATTAAAAATTATGGAACTAGGATTGGCTCCATATAACGAAACAAATGCTCTAATAGGGTCTAAGCGATATGCTAATTGCGGACCTGTTTCTGTGACTATACCTCATCGCCGACCCTATCCCTGCGCCGCTACGCGCGGCGCGGATGGGGGCTAAACTAGATGGCTGGAACTCACGAGCAGCAGCTACTGCATCTCCTGCAACTTCCTCCATTTTATTAGCTCGTGAGTCCCAGGCATCTAGTTTAGCCCCCATCCATGCCGCCCGTAGTGGCGAGGGGGATACTGTCGGCGGTGAGCGTGACCGCATTTTGTGCATGCTGAAAAGTGTGAGGACGATGACGCTAATTTGCGTCGGAGCGTGTGGTCTCCCCGCCATGTCGCTTTTATCGCCTGTAATGTTGTGTGTTTTGAAATTGTCAATAGTTGCTAGTATCGTATGCAGAAACGCTTCAAAATGTCAGCGGTCGTGATTATCGTCTGCTACTAACGACTGCAGTGTTGTGTCTCTTGAAATTGTCAGGTAATCCTAGTTTTGCCGCGATTTGTTCGGTGCCAGAAGTTTGCATATTTTTAATAGGACTGAGGCCCTGTTAGGATATTTGTTTGGCCGCCATAATGCCGGGGTAGAATGTTTATATGATTTCACTATCACGTACAGATACATTACAAAATCAGGCTCTCCTCCGAACTTCTACCCCCGCAGTATTGCGGCCTGAAATATCCGTTTGCGGTGCAGTCCAATTAAAAATACGAACTTGTCGGAGTTCCCGCAGAGGAACAAATTGTGGCAAAACTAGGAGTACCTTACAATATCACGAGACGCAACATTGCAGACGATAGTAGCAGACGATAAAAGCGACCGGTGACAATGTCGAGTGATTTCTGCAGACGATACTAGCAGACGATAAAAGTGACCGTTGACAATTTCGAGACATTACAGACGACGAAAGCGATATGGCGGGTAGATCACACGGTCCCACGCAGATTAGCAATACTGTTTTTCCGATTGAGGATTTAGGAGTGGTAGATGTCAGACTTGTCGGCATGCGCAAAACGCTATTAAACTCACAGCCAAGGGGATCCCCAGCGCCGCTACGCGGGGCGCGGATTTGGGGCTTAACTAGGTGCCTGGGACTCACGAGCAAAGTAATTGGAGGAAGTTGCAGGAGATGCGGTAGCTGCCGCTTGTGAGTCCCAGCCATCTACGCGCGGCACGGAGGATACGCTCGGCGGTGAGGAATAGTCACAGAAACAAGTCCGCAAGTAACATATCGCTGAGACCCTGTTAGAGCATTTGTTTCGTTTTCTGAGCCGATCCTAGATTTGCCGTGATTTGTTCGCCGGCAGAAAGTCTGACTCCGACAAGTCCCCATTTTACATATTTGTTCCTCTGCAGAAAGTCCGACAATGGAAAGTTTTAACGGTCGCTATTATCGTCTGCTATTTTATCGTCTGCAGTGTTGCGTCTCTTAGAATTGTCAGGTAATCAGAAACAATAAGAAACAGGTCCGCAAGTAACATATCGCTGAGACCCTGTTAGAGCATTTGTTTCGTTATACAGAGCCGGCATATTTTTAATAGAAGTGAGAACCGAACGGATATTTTAGGCCGCCTTAATGCGGGGGTAGAAGTCCAAAATCATTATTTATTTAAAAACTACATATTATTATTCTTAACATCAGATCGCAGGCAATGATTTTGGTATCTGTTAATTACTGATCCCTACAACTACACAGAGGAGCCGCCATAGTGTAGAGGCTAGACACTTGCCTACTAATACAGTATACCCCTGAAGTCATGCAAAACGGCCCTTTACTTATGTTTAAAAGTGTTACTTCTACTTAGCAGTGGTCAACGATTTCTGACATTTCGCCTATAACTATAAGTATTACTATAAACTATTATAAGTGCAATAATCAGACATGATTGAATTATCTCAGACAATATCTAAACGGTTCAGTGAACCTCGGTGTTAAAAAAAAGAAGAAAATGTGGAACATCAGTCAGTTGAGCTAAAATAAAAGTAAAAAAAAACTCAGTATTTGAGTTTGAGTATTCACTTTAAAAAAAAGCAAGTTAAATGGGAGACGGCTAAGCTAGTAAATTAGTTTGACTATTTTTTTTTTTTTTCTCATCAGCTAAAACAACCTTCTACACATAAGCTGAATTTTCTTCTGCATTAACCAGGTCGTACCTCCTCCCACTGCGTAAGTACTAGCCGTTCGCCTGCTACTGTCAGAAATTAGAATCATTCAGAATCCGACTCGGGGGCAGGGCTGCCAATGAGATTTTTGTCAAAAACCCAGATGGGGCTAACGAAAACCCAAGATATGAACAAAAAATAAAATAAAAAACCCAGCACTGTGCAAAAAGTATTTTATAGTTATGAAACTGAACATATACTCACCTTTATTAAACTGTTACTCTTAACCGCTCTCCTTCTTCACCAATTTCAATTGTCACCGTCTCTTTCTGTGTTTTATTCTGTTTAAATATCTTTGACTACCTGCGCCACTTTGCAATTCTTTTAGCAATTCTATATTAGGTGTCCATGTCGTAATTTCCTTCTGTGATTGCTTGCCTTGCAAGAATTCGATCTTTTACGGTGTCAGCTTTCAGAGAATTAGTTTTTTTTAGTTTTGACACAGATCATCAGGGAAAATATGTGTTCAACCGTTGCTGACGAGTGGGGCAAAATAGTGAGATTGGTCATAAAAGCGGAAAAAATGTCATATTTTACATTTTTCAAGCCATCTTTTATGCTTCTCAATTGGTACCAATACTGCCATTCTCTTTGAAACACTGAGCATACCATTTTCTTTTCTTCGATGGTGTAATCTGTTCACTCGTTTTGAATTCAACAAGGTTATAATCAGAGTAAATTTTGATAGCACAGTTCAACAAACCACAACACAGCAAAAAAAAAAAAAAAAACCTAGTGAAAATTTAACTGAAGGTCCCTCCCTAGTGGTTTCTGCTAATCTGTTTTCTTTCAATTCAACCAATGAGACGCTACAATGTCAGGTCAATAACCCCTAGAAGGGAGGAAAAGCCTCCCAAACTTTCTTCAATAATTAAATGTCAGGTCCCTTCTTTCTTCTGTAAAGTTTACGATCAAAAGTCCCAGGCTTCATCAATTTTGCTTCTCCGCCCCTAGTATCTGTTACTTAAGGGACACTACTTTGGATCGTAAATCTGGTCCTTTGGTGGTCTGCTACATTTTTCCTGAATAGCCCTGGAGTTAACCTTTGTATTCTGTTACATTAATTACACTGAGTTTATTTTAAGTGTTTGTAGGACATTCCAAAATATAATTTGCGGGTAAAACTATTATAGATATGTGTACACACATTATTCTTGTTAGAATATTTATAAATTGTAGTTTTTTTTTTTTCATCATTAAGACGGAAAACCCAAGATTTTCAATAATTTTCAAAATAAAAACCAAGAAACCAAGACGGCAACTAAAAAACCAAGATCTTGGGGGAAAAACCAAGCATTGGCATCCCTGCTCGGGGGATGATTGTTTTGCTAGTATGGCAGCTTCCGGTTTCATCAGTCACCATTTATATTCGCATTTTTGTTTAATATAGTTATTGAAATCAGAAGACATTACAGCGCCCTAAACTTGCCAATAAGCGCTCCGTCCCCGTCTTCACAAGTACAGAGTTCCAATTCCGGTGGCATCAGGAACAGCCCCTGACAGCTTCACGCTGTCAGATTAAAAGTTCAAAATGTACTTTGATTTCGCTGCTTCTGCCGCATTCTTCGGTGCCATCTAATGCGGCCGTTCTCTGTATCATAGCACGGCACAGTCCTAGCTACCTATATTTTATAAACCAGTCGCCTCTCGGGGAGATTAGTCACCATGACACCAGCCGCCTTTACCTCCCAGGACTTTACCTAGTACCTATTTAAGACCTGGGAGCCAAGGTCAATTTTAACAAAAAGTCTGGCTCCATCTGACCTAAATCCCAGATATGTGGATCCGCCGGCGAGCGTCTACGCCACGGCGGCTCTCCCATGTGGCGACTGATAAATTTCAAACATAAAGAC